GTGCATGGCATGCGTGAATTTTGTTTCAATATGTTTTCCATGGCGATAGCTTAGAAAGTCATAGAGCCGTATCCTACCCAGACTTCCATTCCTGGTGGCACAAGTATGTGCTGATGATTGAAAGGTCATGCAAAACAGATGTGAGGGCAGCTGGCTTTCCCAGCTATGCTTTAGCGGACTTAACAGTGGTGCCTGCCATTACCAAACAGCAGAGAGATTTTATTTCAATTGAGCAAAAAAAAAAAAAAAAAAAATCTTGGGCAACCTTGTCAAGATAATTGACCATACGTGCATTTTCTCCCCGAGGCCTCACCTTTTCCACTCTTCACACTCCACACTCACAGCCCGGAACTAACTTCGTCACACGGAGCAGAACTGGGTGCTGGCCATTCTGACTTGCTTTCCAACATCTTATAGGTATTGTTGACCTTTGTGTGCCAAAGTCATTTTAACCGCAGTCCCTACAGCCTTCTCATTTATTTGGAACCACGTTGAATGTTACCTACACTTCAGACCCACTTTCACTATTCTTGTGCTTCTTTGAAACGTAGCAAAAGCACAAAGAAAATGGCAAATGGTGCATTGCAGAGCGGGCTACCACAGCCCACATACCTTTGAAGAACAGATGGTCCAATTGCAAACCTCCCAAATATTGACATCTGTGTCTCAGGCAAGTGTACAAGCCAGACAGATATAGCTTTTAAGTTTTACATATTTTATCAAAATTAAATAATCCCTAAACCTGTCTCTTACCAATTGTATTTATGAGATTGCCCCTTATTGATTAGAGGGACTCTAAGACAATGTGGATGAAATAGTAAATGTTCTCTCTAATCTAGTAAAAGAAGTCTAAGTGTGAGATCTGCCACTTAATTGCGTATTTTTAAAGAATCATTTCTCTGAGTGTTCATTTTCTCATCTCTAGAATTTGGGTTAAAAATGCTTGACTCTCAGTTTCTCCAATTATTAGAATCTTACAGTGAATTAGTGTAACCTGGTATGACGAGTAATATGCCACACCAAGTACAAAATTATATGGCTCAGTCAGTTAAGCGTCTGACTCTTGGTTTCGGCTCAGGTCCTGATCTCACACTTTGTGAGACGAGCCCTGCATCAGGTTCTGCACTGGCAGCATAGAGTCTGCTTTGGATTCTCTCTCCCTCTCTCTTTCTCTCTCTGCCTCTCTCTCCCCAGTTCTCTCAAAAATAAAATAAACATTTTAAAAAATAATGTTTTACTCTTAACTGTAAGAAATAAAAAAATCCTTTGGTTATATCTTAGTAGACATCCGATAAATCTCTTAAATATTCAGAATTTCCATTGTACTGGGTGTTTGGGGGTAGGCCTTGAAAAACAATCAATGCTACATTATATTTCCTTTGCATATTCAGTTATCAGAACAAAGGACGGAGTGGAGAATTTCTTGTTCAGCAAGAAAATGCAACTCAGGTTGTGGGTAATTAATGGAGGTTTCGATTTAGTCAAGAATGTAAAGTTTTAATTTTGTACCGAGATGTGGCTATTATCAGTTTGTTGACTGTCAGTTCCAAATTCAGCCTTCAGGTCCTGTTCCGGGATAGTGAAGTGGGCTCTTTAAGCATTGCTCCTTCATAGTGAGCAGTGTTAGGCTTTGTCAACTGTCAGCCAAGGAACATTGCAGAAGCCAGGGGCTTCTCTTCCCGGTTCTGAGTGCTGCGTGTTGCTTATCCTGGCTCCGGCTGCGTGCTTCGTCCATGGTGTGTGTGTGCAGACATCTGGAGGAGCTATGCCCCAGCCGGGCTTCCAGAATGCACGGTCCTTCGGCAACTTCACATCCCGAGCCTGGGCCCAGTGACCACCTTGCTGCCTCGCTCGATGTGGGGACTGTGCACTCTAGGCCATCACAGCCCTCCAGCTCCCTGTGAGCACCCATCCACCAAACCATGGTGAACTAACCTTGGCTTCCCTGCATTCGGGAGGGTTTTGTCATGCTCCCACCAACCTAGGAGCAGCGCTGGCTGCCTTCAGCAACCAGAGGGCTTTTCTGTCATTCAGTGGGCTGCAACCACACTCTCTTCAACAAAATCTGGCCTTCAGCCATGCTGAAGGGTGCTCATTGGAAATCTGTTCTTCCTTGGGTCCTCTCTCTTGATCTGGGGATACCACTGGAGTTCTCTCTACCTTTTCAGTTATTCTGTCATAGCTTAATAACTCTTTACATTAAAGGTCTCCTGCTAAGTTTAGGTGTGATTTCAGTCTCCTGATTGGACCCGGTCTGATCCAACAGGCGTGATCAACACACTTTCCCCCAAGCCCTACTTTATACTCTGAACAATCTGTACTATGTTGCTATTGTTAAAGATCATCCAGAACCTCCTTGGATACTGAGGCGTAGGCAAACTCATAGAGTCACGTCACTGATTTACATCTCTTTTAGGGGCAGAAGTCCTGGGTTCACTTTGGTGCCTCTCAACTTGTTTTGGGGGCTCATTTTCATCTAAATCATTATGGTCCCAGAAAAATTATGAAGCAGCAGTGTAATAATTTAACAGGGCAGAATAAATGAGAGGGTTCAGTTGACAAAGCCAGAATTACTTTAACTTATATTTCAAAGTTCAGACGTGGAAAGCTCCATGGATTTGTCTGTTCTCCATTTCAGTCCACTAAGGAGGCTTGAGACTGTAAGGATTCTCATGCAAACAGGAATAGAGAGAACTTCTGGGGTCAGATGACATCAATATATGGTCACCTAAGCAAAGACTTCTATTTATACAAAAACTAATATTGGTATGATGGGTCACCGGAGTTCAAGTTCCCTTCCTATTTACCAAGGGAAGTTTGGCATATCAGTGACACACGAGGGGGAAAAAAATCAAAAGACAGTTCTGAAGATATTATAGTCTCCTAAAATACTTTAAACAATGGTATTTTTTAGTAAGTGCTTAGAATGGCACCAGCTGTGTGTGCTCTACAAGCAGAGAAAAAGAAAGGGTGGGGGGAGAAGAAGCAGACCTAAGTATATTTGAACTAAAAAGCAAACGCGACAATTAGAACATGATGAAAAACTAATTTGAAACCCAGTTATTAAACAGAAACTTTGTCCTTTGAAATACAGATGCATTAGAGACCATGTCAATCAAACCATGGACCCGGCACAGAAGTCATTTTCCTTGGGAACTATGTTGCCTGAAGAGAAATTGAAAAACTACACTCTCTGTGAATTACAAATTGTTTTATTTTTCTCCCCGAGGTCAGCGATCAGTGGTTTTCTGACATGGAAATGCTTTATTCTTCTACACTAAGCAATGGGCTCTGAGCTTTATTGTATGTGATTACACACAGTTACGAGCACGGGGAAGAGAAATGCCTTCTTGGTCAACTTTCATTTACCAGAGCTCCCCCAGTGCCCTGCCATTAGTGCCGATCACTAAACACACCTTGTTTCTCTTCAACTCCGGGTTCAAGGTGTGGAAGCCGCACCTTTCTTATTAATCATTGATGTAATCTCGCCACCTACTCCGGCGGCCTCTAAATCATGGAATAAAGAGTAAACGTTCAGTAATAGAATACCATAGACAAATGGTTTGTTCCAGATTTTCCTCATAAAGCCAACAGTTGAGTGAATCAGACGTTAAAAATACCTTTGCATATCTCCTTAGGAGAATAAACACATAGGCTACTTTTGACTTACGGAAGGGAAGGGATTCTTTGACAAACTTTCGGGCTGGGCGCTTTCCTGAGCTAAATGCTCTCATTCATAAGCACGACACAAAACTGTATCAGTCTGAGATTTCTGTTGGGTAGCCATGTGTCCTAGCCCCTTTCCTCTTTTAAATTTTAAATACTGCAAAGGAACCGTTTTCCCCGGGAGGCTCCCACCCTTGGGATGAGACCCCCTCTGCGGAATTTTGGCACCCTATTAATTAGCGGTTACGAGTGGGAGCTGCTCTCTCTCAGCAACTCCTATTCTGCCATCAGTCAAGTGCGACTCTGTAATAAATTCCCACGAAGCAAACTATTTCTGGTAATTCTCCCTAATTAACACCAGGCCCGCTAATAATACATCAGTACCTATGTGTTTCTGATATAACCAAGATCTTGTCTGAGAATACTTAAAAAGGGAAACCGCCAACCTAAATTAAGCTTTTGCCGGCCAGAAAGGATTTTATACGTGGTTCTGGAAGAAAACCTTTGATAATCTTATATTGGGGACATTTTGACCAGAAAACACCAAACGATAGGGAGGCTTGTTTCTGGCTTGAGCACTGAATGGGGATTTATTGTGAACACACACTGTTGAGTCCTAAGCCTATAAATCTTGTACTGGATTACTGTTTCTTAACGAAGGAATGACAGATCTCTTATTTTGTTGGTGCATTTTAATGTGCAATGACGTGATTGATAGAAACCAAACAGCAGCTATTAAAATGTCAAATGCAGACTTGATGCCCTTATAAGTTTGGCTTCTGGAGTTTAATATACTGTGAGCAAATAGACTTGAATTTGTCTTTTATTTCCAATATACAGCCTAAAACAGAAACATTCCTCTTAACTTTATACACTTGGAAAAAAAATCTTACTCAAATCAATAAACAAATGAGGAACAGATGAGCCTACCTAGTTATAGAAAAGTTAACTAATGAGATCGGGCTGAGTTAACTGTGAATTAAGGTGCCTTGCTTGATTAAAGCATGAAAATGTTGATGACGACTTCCGGCATTTAAATAGGATATGTGATACAATACAGTGCTTGATAGGGCAGGTTATTACAATAAACGGTTTCAGCAATGAATATTTTTTAAAACAATGGGACTTATTAATTTACAGACATGCATTGTGTACCTGCTACACGCACAGCATAAACGTGGCTCAGAGTAGAATGAACGTGACGCTCTTTTGCCATATAAGAGGGATTCTCCTGAGAATCGTGACTTCTCTTCCGATCCTGCGAATCCTATTTTATCCCCATGGTCACTTTAACGGGACCCACGTGCCCCCCACAAAAAGAAAGACCAAGAGAGCTTATTTACATCACTGCGGCCATTTATTTATTGATTATGTGCACATTAAGGTATAACTATGCTGATTATATTTCTCATGTGGTGTTTAATTAGAAAATGTAGCCAAAAGCAAAACAATACAAACATATACAAACTGAAAAATGTAAAGCAACAGAAAATAGAGATTAACAGAAAGGCAAATGATATTTCCAAAAGCCAATACCTTAAAACATCTGGAGGATAAGGATGACAAACTGACGCCACACCTGACCTGTGGAAAATTACTCAGTGTCTTCCCCTCCCTTCTGTCTGAAAAGCTTCTCCTTTCAACAGGGATGGTTAAAAGACTCTATACATCACAAAAACGCTAATACAACATTAGATTCATACTTGCACAAGGGAGAGGAAGGTTATCTTCCAAGAAAGTGGTCCTAATATACTACCCCAAGAAAATGGCACCATGAAAAACCTTTTTGTTGTAGATGACTTTTGACTGTAGGTTTCACTAACAATTGGAAGATTTCAACTCTCAGTTCTGTCTTAACACTGTGACCAAATGACCAGGCTTTAGTGTTCGGCTGTACATGCAGCCCAAATCGGCAGGAAATAGTGTGGTGCTGGGAGCATCCGCGGTGGGGCCCTCTCTCGGCCGCTGCTCCACGGGCAACATTCAGCCCTTGGTAGTTTATGAATTGGATGTTATGAATTGGAACCTATCACTAGCGTTTCTGAATCTGGGAAATACAAGTGGGGCATATTTTAGAGTCATATACTGTAATGTTAATCTGTGTGATACTAAGTACAGCATTCCAAAATATACATCAGGAAACACTACAAGTAAAGACTCTACAGGAAAGAGGTAATACTTAAAAAAAAAAAATGCTACTGATCCGGAATATTTATAATCAGAAAAATAAATATTCAGGGAGCTCACCAGAAGAATAAAGTGCTCTGCCAGTTATTAAAAGATTAATGCTGGTGTGTTAAATATGGCATTCCCCACTGGAAAATACAGAGATTCTTCTGGGTTATAATTAGTATTTATTTCACAGGATTATCTGTTTTAAGAACAGATAAAAAGCCTTGCCACAAAAGAGGACAAAGCACAAAGACAAAATGATAAATTAGGAAGAAGCAATGTTATCCTTTTAGGGACAAAATTTAGAGGAATGCAAAATTATGCTTCATGAATGGTGTGTAGGAAGAAAAGTCGAATAAAAATATCCTTAGTGTAAGATAACTTAGTAAGAAATTCAGGTCAAATAAAAAATTCTTTAGAGGAAATACCTATATGCCATTAACTTTTTCAAATACTATCTTGGCACAGAATCTATAAAGGCAAAACTAAACAACCAAAAAAAAAAAATCTCTACTACATCAAAACAAAACCATCAATTTATTTTTTATCGTGTAAAGAAAGAGACTGACATTCCGATATGTGACCACGCACATTAGCCAGCATGAACTCTACAGGTGGTTTCAGCAGCAATGAGAAATAACGCACAATTCAGTCCCAGCATTCTATTTCAAAAATAAAACTTCCTGCCTCCCTACAGATGCAGGGCGAGGAGGTAGGTGGGGGTTCCTACTGGCGAAGCCACTTCATGTCACCCTTCTCATTCTTTTATTCCCAGTTAGCTATTATCTGTATATAATATAAATCTACTAGGCCATAAATTAACAGCTTTCAGGACAGATGCCTTGGAAAGTTCTTAGGGAGGTTAAACAAATATTAGAGCCTAAAACCTCCCTCTATAACAAACACGCACACAATGGAAGTAAAGTCGTTAGTGAGTTATGGGGCAGGGAGGGCTTGGGGTTCTGTCTCAACTTTAAAAGGACCTTGCCCCAGACAAACTGATATTGTACCTTAGTGGGATCGTGGGCTTGCATCCCTTCTGGAAACAAAGAGAAAAACTATCCAATGTCATAATCTGTTATCTACATAATTTTCCCCCCAAATACAAAAAACAACAAATGAGCCAGTCGGGATAATTCCTCCTGTTTCCCTCCTATACTACCAACCTTTGGGAATAAAAGCTTCCCAAACTTCGTGATCACATTTGGAAGTGGTTCATCTAATATTGAGAGAGCTACTGAAAGCAACAAAACAAAACAAAACATCCTAGATTTTTATCACATCCCCAAGCCAATCTTTTACTTTTCTAATGTAGAATTAAAATTATTCTGCAAAGAGAATTCTCGAAACTTTATTGGTCAGTAGTACAAATCTGAAACCTATCTAATGGATTTCTTGTCTGAAAGGGGAGGGGATTTTTAAAAATTATGGATACAATGGTCTGATTTACCGTAATTCCTATCCACACTCTCTTCTACTTACTCTCTTAACCTCAGCATGAGGGAAGGGGGTAAAATGGAGTTTGACTAGTATAGGTCATAAACCACTGAATACATAATTAGAAATGGCCATATTTTAATCAAAGGTGAAAATTTTGAAATTTATAAACTATGTGGTGGCTTTTTGGAGGGGGGAAGATGAAAGAGAAACACAACACCTCCTATTGGCATGGCACATTTTGATAAAAAATCATTGGTCTTTCCTACTGGAATGATCAGCTAGAAGACAAAAAAAGTACATACAGTTTTTTTTTAAAAAAGTGACACATACTACTGATAAAATTCTGTTTCAACTCCTATTTCCTCTTTTAAAGATAAGCACTATTTTTGAAAAAATACATTTTACTTATTGACAGTGCAAGGAGATTTTCATTGCTTTTTACAGGTTTACTCAGAACTATCTAACAAGGAAAGAAAGTTTAATTATCTCAGCCTAAATGTTAAAGGTTTTTATTCTAAAGTTTAATTCTTCACTAATTTATTCTATGATGAATTTAATAGTCAACCAAGAAACTGGCTTTTATAAAAGTTATTTTATGGGCAGAAAATACAGGAAAAAAGTAAATATAAATGCCAAACTGTCTCTTTACTTTACAAAGCCAAACATTTCCTCATAGACTTGGTTTCTAAAGCTGGAATTTATCCCTTCAGGGTCACTATTATTTTTCAAAACTCCTACAAATATTAAATCTAAAAATTAATCGTAATTCTAATTTTCCTCTTTCTCTTAAAATTTCTTCTCCTCTCCTGAACTGTTGACTTTCAAAAATTCAGAGAATGAGCATGTTTCTTGCAAAGTGGCTTGTCCTTCTTGGAGAAAAAGGTCTGACCTTCCAAACTTTCGCAACATACCTGAAAAAGAAGCATTATTTAAAAGAATATCATTATTTTATCAAATATGCCTAAGAAGGGAAAAATGATTTTTCACTCACTGGATAAGACTTCAGTTGGTTGTATTAGACATTCTGATATTTAACAACCACTATGATATTTTATGTCATCTTTCAAAAGCAATGAAGAATGACTTTTTTTCTGGAATGCATTCTAATTTATTTAAATCAGTGATCACTATTTCTATTATGAGTGAAGTATTTGGCCCTAATGGAAAAATGAACACATAAAGAGGTCTCATTAAATAGAAGTTCTCTTCCCAGATTCTAATCGATGTGACTCAAAACAAGAACAAATACAATTGCTTTGCCAGATATTCCCGAGCCCCCAGACACAGAACACCTGAGAATTATTTTTAATTCATTTCTTTGTTCCTTATAGTAAAAACCCTGGTCAACATCTGGCTACCGGAGGATTATACAGTCTGTTAACTATCTGCATTTACACTTCTTGTCTTTCCTATTGCCTTTGGGTAGTGTAATAGTCTTGAGCATCTCTACCAGAAAATAGGAGCAGACGAATGTGCTACTAGCTGTAGCATTTTATAGGTACCATGAAGTCTGCGAGAGGGAGGAGGTAAACAAGACCAGTGGTAATGTTTGGGGAAATCCTTTGATTTCAAATAACATTACTTTTTTTCCCTTCATACAATGGGTATTGAAAACTAGTAGGTATAGTAAATCTAAGAAAAAAAAAATCTGAACAGAATATCTTTATTGGATATTTACTTTCTAAATTAAAAAGTCTTAGGGTAATATAAATCTCTAAATCTATCTTCGCCATTAAAAATAAAAAATATTAAAATATCAAATGAAATAGGTAAGTATATCACTTCATCTTTATTATAGTCTCAAAAAGAAAAAATATGATTCATGGACTATTGCTAAGGAAGGAAGCGAATCAACATATAGTTTACTTCCATGCTTAATTCAACAACAGATATTTTTAGAATTGTTTGTTTCTATTTCAAGTACTCATGTTTCCCAAAATTGCTAAGAACACTCCAATAAAATAGTTTTTAAAAAATGCCAAGGTCTCCTACTGTTTTAAGAAACCTATAGCTTTTCCTTATAAACATAAATTAAAAATAGGACTTTCTCCAAAGGGGTAAGCATCTTGTTCTGTGTCAAGTAATTAAAAAAAAAAAAAAAAGCCAAAAATTTTAATGAACAACTTTCAGAATCACTATAAAAATATTTTTAAGTGTGAAGGATTGAAAGACAGAAGACCTGTTATTTCCAGTTGGTGCTTAGGCTAAAACTGGCCATACTGTGCTCTTCTCACTTGGAAGTAAGAGCTTACTTACTGAGCATACAAAGCAAGTGTCATGCCAGGTAGAGCCCAGGGCTTCCAGGAACATGTCTCCGGCCTCTATGGGAAATTCACATCCACGGCATATGGTACCAAAAAGGGCATAATAATCTGTATTGGGGTGGTGGGTGGGTGGGAGACATAATTGAAACATGACAAAGCTTTAGAATAATAATGCCTAGAAAGCAGCAACAAAATTGGAATTAAATGAGAAGATAAAGGTAAAGCAACCAGTAACTAGAAAATTTTCAGAGGGCGTGTTTTGGCCTGAGGTATATGCGTAGCACGGTTTAGGTCACTTGGGGGGTAAATGTTACCTATTATATAACTTAACGTCCTTTATTCTATTTCTCCCCATAATACTTCTCACTTATCTCCAGCTATGTATGAAGGACAACTCTGTTCTCTGATAAGTTATCAATAGACATGGCTGTGTTAACAAAAGACAACTTCCAAAAACTAGCAACAATACCACTAAAAAACATAAATCAAGAAGAAATATCTGATGTCAGCACATTTCCTAGAGGATATAACTTGGAAGGAAAGAAAAAAAAAAGTCACAAGGAACTTCCACCAGTAAGTGCCTGGACTGAGGTTCTAGCCGGACCGCATCGTAACTGTATTAGCCACTATTTCTTTTGCTGCAATTTCCTTTCAATTGTATGACTTCATGCTGAAAATCCTTAGCCAGAGAACACCATTTACTTGACACAGATTACAGTTATAAAATACCAGTAAGATTTTCTTCTGAAGAAAGCAGGTTTTGTTTTTTTAACATTTATTTATTTTTGAGAGACAGAGCATGAGCAGGAGAGGGGCAGAGAGAGAGGGACACACAGTATGGGAAGCAGGCTCCAGGCTCTGAGCTGTCAGCACAGAGCCCGATGCGGGGCTCAAACCCACAAAATGTGAGATTATGACCTGAGCCGAAGTCGGACGCTCAACCGACTGAGCCACCCAGGCGCCCCCTGAAGAAAGCAGTTTTGATAAGATGTTTCTTTATTATTACTAAATTAGAACTTAATGGCATTATTCACTTATGCAGCCACTCTCACTGCTTGTGTTTACTCCAACCTGGGCTGGGGCAGAAAGTAAACTATCATTTCCAACTTGATTTACCTTTCTTAAGGTAAGTAATAATAATGTAATATTAAAATAATAATATAATACTAGTCAATATTCCTTAGCATCATCTGCTCAACACCTATCCGCTGAGTCCTATGTACCAGTCATCGTTCTAGGCACTGATGGGTGGTACTGTGGTGAAGAAGACAGATGTGGCTTCTCTCTTTACGGTGATTATATTCTCATTGGGAGCAGGATGTTGTCATTTATTGTACTTTTCAAATAAGTGATAATAAATAATTTCAGACTGTGTAAAGTACCATGAAGAAAATAACCCTGTGATACAGAATAGTTAGAGGAGGTGTGTAACACTCCATTAAATAGGTAGGTTAGGAAAGGCTTCTCTAAGGAGGTAAAAGTTGGGCTGAGGCTTGACAAAAAAAAAAAAAAAAAAAAAAAGAGAAATCACCACAGAAAAGCTGTGGAAGAACGTATCGGTTAGAAGAAACAGCAAGTACAAAGGCCCTGAGGCAGGACCTTAGCATGTTCAGCAAAGCAAAGCATGTTTGTATGCCTGACAGAGGGTAAAGTGGTAGAAGACAAGGTTGGCAAAGCAGGCCTACCAAGGAGTATATGTTTACTCAAGTGGAAGCCAAGAAAGGTATCGAGCATAATCTAATTTACATTGAAACAAATATTATCATAACTTCTATTTAAGGGTTGGAGAAAGAAGATGGATCATTTTAGTTGGTGATTAGAGCATTTCAGGCAAAGGGTGAGTTGGATTCGGTTGTGACCACTGAGGTGAAGAGAAATGAACAACTTATATACACTGAGGGTACCTGCTAGAATTTACTAATTACATTGGATATGAAGAGAGTAAGGGAAAGAGCAGAATCTTAAATTTTGGGATAGTGGTCAGTGGGGCATTTATTGAAACAGGAAAGGCTGAGCTAATAACAAGTGTTGGAGGTTAGTAAAAATACAAGAATAGAACACCTTGATTAGAAGTGACATTTAAATAAATCTTCAAAAATATTTTTCCCTTTCTAGAAGCAATTTGGGGTTTTAAAAAATCTGACTTCTTAGACTACATTAAATGTGATATTAAGGCAAGATAGTTGCATACATATTTAGCTGGATAGGGACTATTTGCCAGTTAGTCAAAATGTCTTGCTAAACTTAATTTTAAAACAAAGAAACAACCTCCCCTTTCTTCAGAAGAATTAAGTGAAATTACAAAACGTGAAATATTCTGATTGAATCACATAGCAGCTTATAGCCATCCTGTCCCCGAAAAGCCCAGGGATGAGACAATTCACTGGAATTTCCACAGAGCTTCCTGGTGGATAGTCTGGCATAGATCTAGACTGGTCCTAGCTAGGAGCTGAAAGGAGTGAGTGAGCAATAAAAGGTCAAGTGATGCTGACTAGACTCAAATTAGAAGTTGACCGCTCATGGGGCGCCTGGGTGGCTTAGTCGGTTAAGCGTCTGACTTTTGCTTAGGTCATGATCTTGCGGTTCGTGGGTTCGAGCCCCGCGTCGGGCGCTGTGCTGCCAGCTCAAAGCCTGGAGCTTGTTTCAGAGTTTGTGAATCCCTCTCTCTCTGACCCTCCCCTGCTCACGCTCTCTCTCTCTCTCTCCTAGAAATAAATAAAAAACATTAAAAAAAAAAAGTTGACCACTCCTTTAACTTAACCAGTGTACAATATTCCCTTCCTCCAGCACCACACTTTGAAAAATCTCAAGGCAGATCAACAATAAAACTCCAAAGTAGAAATGCACTGGTAATGTATGCAGGCATGAAAAAGGGAAGATATTTTATTTTTTGAAACGTATGTGTGGTACCAACATCTAAGAGTAATATTAATAAACAAGTGTTATAGAAGCTCACTTACAGCCTTTGGGAAAGAAAAGCACGTGTTCAGAGCTCAGGTAATAAGACAAATGTAGCCAACTGATCCTTAGAGTCCAGTTTATGAAAAATAATTTTACTAAGGGAGCAATACAAGCCCTCCCATTCAGTAAGAGTAACAAAGGACATCCAATGTATTTTCAAGGCAGTTGCCTTAAAGAGCAATTCAATATCATGTTCAATAGCTGAACACTTCTCATGTTTGTAACCGCCCAAAATTCACCATTAGACTGTTGAGAGGTGGCTTCAAGCTACACAGTGTGGTAGAATTCATACCCATAAACTAGGGATTCAAGTAAAATATTTTTCTACTAGATAATGCTTACATGCTCATTTCTCTTAATGAAGTTGGGAATATGTTTTGAAAAAATCACATAAAAATTTTACATAGTTTTTTTTGCTATATATTTAGAGTAACATTAAATGCCCCTAAAACAACTCAAATTTCCTTTAAACTTTGCCCCTTATTTCCTTTAAACTTTGTAGTAACATAAGGGTTAAGTTTATTCAAAAGTCAAGAAACTAATGGCTTCAGGATCTTACCAGTCTCACAGTATGGTTCACCATCCTCCAAATGAAAAACATTATTACGAATGGGTTTTCCACAGGCCACACATACAAAACAGGAAACGTGCCAAGTTTGTTTCAAAGCATTGATGACTTCCTGTTATAGAAAAGCAACTGGATATAAGAAAGATGGCTATACACAGAGGCTTACTCTACTCGTTGTACCAACATAGTCCTTTTACATTGACTCAAAGTAGGCACACGCTTTGTCTTTACCATCAGCTCTTCCTCTAAAGACAGACTCACAAATGGCCTAAACTGATACACTATATAATACGTGTGTTTTCCACAAATACACATCAATAAACTTATTTAAATAATGACTGTTGTGTTACTTAAACATTATACATGGGGTGAATAAAGTAAGCATTTCCTAAGTGCTTGCTACAATACATTCTGCTTTCTCTCAAAAGGGTGTCAGGGAATATTAACTTACAAAGGTTTCATACTATTATCTTGAAAATGTCATGGACGAAGGGCAAAACGCTTAAAAATTAAACAAACCTATGCTTTGGTGCATTATAGGAACAATAACATAATCAGGGTAATCCAATCAATTTAACACATGTTTAGGGTTCTGGAAATCAGCTGTGACTACACTAAGCACACATTCAAATGAGCATCTAAAATTTGAACCATAAAGTATGGATTCTCGTCAACAATGACCCTATGATTAAAAATACCAAGTATCAAAGACTTGGGCCAGATTTTAATTAGTAAGAGAAGTCTTAAGAAGCTGGTTTTGAAAGGAATCATTTCTTTGCATTGAGAGAGATGGAGCCATTAAACATTATTTTTGAAGATTAGTTAATAAAATGGGAATTTACTCTTTCCATAATATTTATCACAAAAAAAGAGGATGTTACACATAAAATATGGTTACAATTTTGTAAATGAATTACTTACAAAGAGAAAACTGGAAGAAAATACATCCTAAGTTTTCAGGAATTATCTGGGATGGGTAAATATATAGGTCATTTTAATATTCTTCTTTACATTTTTTTTTGTAGTTTCTAATTGTTGTAGAGAGAAGTATTTTTTTATGATAAAAAATTGTCAAAGTACAATGATACAGAGTAAATTATTAGCCATAGAAAATGAGACAGTTCATTAGTGATGGGGAATGGGAAGAAATGGCAGTTATTGAGAACCAAGAAGATGACCATGAACATGTACAACAAATGTACACTGAGCCAAATCATTTCTCAAGGCTCTTAGCATTTATTTCCCTTTCTATCCTTGAGACAGATTCCTATTCCTTTGAACCGGCAATAGAACAACTAAAACACAATCCAGAGGATCTGTCCCTCTAGTCAAGTTCCAGTCCATCTCTAAGCCGATGAGGGTAAGATTTCCATTTCCTAACTTCATCTGGCTCTAAGACTGTTACCTGACTTTGTATTATTAATTATTCTAGAATCTGTAGACTGTATTCATATACTGAAACAGTATTAACATATATTCCACTTATTATTTGTCATTTGGGAAGGTATAGCCTGAATCATGCTACTCCTTTGTTCCCAATATATTGTACGAATTAATAATATAGAAACATTTCATGTGGTATATTTACAATTTAAAGTGTCCTCAAAGTTTTAGACCCATTTAAAGTAATATGTAATTGATGTAATATGAAATTCAAACTAGTCAATAATTCTTACTAATTTTTCTCTCAACTGTTATGAATTAAAGTTTCATTATATTTTTATAAAGAGAATAGCAGAATTCAGCAATGCCATCTCCATCTTTTGCATTAGTTTATTTGAGTTTCGTACGGGATCAGACACCTTGGCTACTTCTAAAATAAAATTCCAATTCCTGGTCACCCATAGGAAATGACTGACCCTTTCTTTGTAAATTGCACACTGAGTATTCCCGAGCAGGAAATTCATTTATTCATCATTATTTATTATGTATCTGACTCCTCCATTACTCCCTTTTTGAAAAGGAAAAAAAAAAACAACCCAAAACAGTGGTTAGATTATTTTTCTATCACATGTCTACTCTCATAATATAGGTTATATTTTTAAACATTATATGCATTTAAGAAAAACAGATTATTTATAGGCTTCATGTTTTATATATTTCATGAGATCTGTGCCCTGTGCTTGAACCCTGACAAATGAGGAAATGCTGGTCTTATAAAAGCTATGGAATTTAATTTAAAACAGTGAAGGTGTCAGTTCTGAGAACTCTGATGTGTGTGGTCCTGTGCGACCTCTTCATTCCTGAGCAAACAGGGTCCTGTTGAGGTAGCACACCCACAGTAAATTATTTTTTCCCCACAGTGGCTAGACTTTCACCAGACAAGTGAGCACTCAGTAAGACAAAACCAAAGACAACTTAACCCCACGAGTCCGATACACTTCTACAGAGGTCTATTTAGTTTTGCTTTACAATAATAAACAGCGATGAAAACACAGAGGGGATCAAGCAAGAATAAAAAGGAAAATTGATGTAAGGGTTTCAAAACAAAAAAATCATTGTGCTTTAAAGCTCACTCAGAATAAACACAGGTTTCTGATACTCACTCCAAGGATCTTCCTTTGGCATCGACCACATTCAGGAGCAAAGAATTTCTCATAGCACAGCTCACAATACAGGGCTCCCTTTTCCTCTACAAATCCAATGTAGGCCATTGTATTTTTGCAGTGAGCACAGTTAAATTCTTCTGGGTGCCAAGATTTCCCCAGTGCCACTAAGAATGGTCCCCTGCCAGAAGAAAAGAGATCAAGTTGGCTTGGGAATAAAAGTTTCTAAAGTTAGGTTGGACAGAATCTCTTTTATGCAATGTCCAAACAATTAAATACTTGCTCAATTATCCTTCTCAAGGGCTGAAACCATGGGTGCAGTAAATTTACATAGGAACTCTCTGAACATTTATGTGAAGAGAATAAGGGGGAGGAGTAGAAAGCACTTAAGGGATTCCTTCAACAAAGGCCAATTCCCCCACTTTTTTTCACCTTCAACAGATTTGGTGTTTATGGTTTTTGAGTGGCAATGAGTGGGTCTGTCTGCATCATGATTATGATTGAGAATGAGGATGTTAACTCTGATATAAAATGATGTAACCAGGAAAAAAATACATGGTTTAGCCAGAGATGGACCTTGACATTTTTATAAAATAAAAAAAGAAGAGAAATCTCAATTTGGTAAAGTTAAGAATCTTAAAAATAGTATTATTACCTGAGAAAACACTGCAGTCAATTTCTGTTCCCCCACATTGTTTCATATACTTATTTTTCAACTCTACCAAACATATCAAATGTTTATGACCCTTCCAAATAGACTATGGAAACTGTCAACTGGATATTAGAGACTGTTTTGAAGCTACTTAGGAAGGTTTTTATTTAATTAAAACATGACTGATTTTTAATGCACATTTGTATCAAGGTAACAAATGTTTGTAAAGAGATTTTTTTCCATTAAATACTATATAGTCATGAAATGATAAGATGGGTTTGGTTTCCTTGACAGGAATCCATTATGAAGCCTTATCTAGTCATGAAGCCTGCAGAGATGAACCATTCTAGCCTCTGCAACGTACTTTTCAGTAGCTCCATCACACTAATTTTTATTCACAGAGTGGCTTTACCTCCAAGGCACTTTTACACTTATCTAATTTGTCCATGCAACATTCCTGTGAGATAGACCAGGGCAGTTATTACAAACTCAGTTTAACAGATGGAGAAGCTGAGATACAAAATGTTCAGAAGATATGACAAACATCCTAAAATCACTGACGGAGTGAAGGCCAGGAGCCGAATTTCCTGATTTCTAGCAAACTGCTGTAGTCACCTGAATATTCTGCTTTTCATCGCATTACCTCAATTATCATCACCGAGTGACCACAGGGTTCATTGCCAGTGAACATGGATACCTGGCTTCTAGGCAGAGTATTAATAGGAAAAGTCACGGTAACGACCATCACAAAATCGAAGCATTCTTCAGCCTTTTAAAAATAACATAAACCTTAGTATTCAGTAACTCTTTCCCATTGGGAAATTCTGTGCAAATACGTTGATAAGTTTACTCAGAACCAGCACCTGATTCTCTAAGAGTCAAAAAAGTAAAAAGGCTCTTTGATGAATGATAAAAATGTGTTCTGTGAGGTATAAGAGGGTATTTTCTAGCCTCATATTTTTGTTAATAACATGACGCCACCACTTTTATCAGTTGGTGCATGCAGTTCTCCTTGGCATTTGAGACAAATAGTTTATTATTATGTTTATAAGCTTTAGGGCACCAGAGTTTTGTTATCACTAACAAGGAATGTCTTTGTTAACTAGTTCCTGCCAGAAAAAGAAAGGGCTATAGATCTCTTATTCTGTAACCAAATATGTTACTTTGGGTAGATTGTCCCTCAATTTTTAGCTGGATAATACATAACAGTCCTACCCAACAATATCCTTACTCTTATTTTCTCAGTATATATTCAAAGATAAACCAAGGAGTCACAATGTCAAAGCTAGACAAAGTTTCATGAGTGCACTGAGCTTTTCCACCGAGTGGTTATCTGGTTATATAAGCTTGAAAAATCTGCCAGGTTCAATGTGCTGTGACCATAACAGAGTATGGTAGAACTCTGCTAACATCTGCTTGGACACTAAAGCAGATTCCAAAGAATTTGTTAGGCTGAATTTTTTTTTTTTTTTTGAGGGCACATCTTCAGCTCCTGTATAGGCTGGATGGCCCCTGAAGTCCTATATCTTTATTCAGCTTTCCAGTTTGCAAAAGAAGTCAATCTAATCAAACTCCATATTCTATATGGATGCACTTTTTTCTCCACAAACACGGCTGTCAGTGCCAGCAAATATTTAACAAAATTCATCTGAGGAAAAAAAGTCATTTAAGAAAAAGTGATTGAGGAACACGCAATCCATTTTTAGATTTCCTAAAATATGTGTTGAAATCAAGTCAGACCAGCAGAGAAGGGCACTCTGCAAAGCATAGCACACTGGGCCTGACCCATTCCACAGAATGACTCCTTTAATGACTGGTGCTCAGTGTGACACCATCAGTCTGCACTGACACTTGTCCTGGGAAATGGCTCCGTGACAGTCACCCTTGCTCTTCTTCTAACTAAGCTGCCGTTGACAGTGTTACCTGCTGGATCACACAGGGTCATTTTCACATGGACTCTCTGGAGAAAGTCCTTTCAGGTTTTTTTTAACAGAACAGTTTTGGTTCTTCTGAGCAATGGGTTTTTTACTCATCATGTAGCAAATTTAAAAATTAACTTTCTTTTTCTTGTTGACCATTAAAAGGCTTAAATCCAAATTTAGTCTAACCCTAAGCAAGTATGTAAGATCATGACTATAGGTTTTGTCAAGTCTCAATGAGCAAATTTTTGACCAGTCTTCCTTTTTAATGGTCCCATTCATAATTTTCATTCTTCTTTTGCTTCCTTTTGTAATTTAGATTTTCTTATATTTCATGTATTCTTTAAAATGTTTTTAAAAGGTTTATAGAATAGTGCCTAGTACAAATAAATTAATTAAATTCATTAAAACTATCATCCATTGAGGGACACCTGGGTTGCTCAGTCGGTTGAACATCTGACTTCGGCTCAGGTCATGATTTCATAGCTCATGGGTTTGAGCCCCGCGTCAGGGTGTATGCTGGCAGCTCAGAGCCTGGAGCCTGCTTCGGATTCTGTGCCTGCCCCCGCCCTCTGTCCCTTCCCTTCCCTCTCAAAAATGAACATTAAAAATATTTTTTAAAAACCTATCTGATTGAAAGAATAATTTTAGTTTCTTACAAATCTGAATAGTGAAATGTCTTTAACAACAGTAATGAAACTCCCCCTGCATCTTTAAAAACTGAACTGAAAATAAGCTTTGCTCTTGCCAGAGCTCATTTCTTAAATATGCTCAGTGTGGTACTAGCCCAATTGGATATTCCCTGGCCTGGCTGAAAGAGCACCTTTTCCATCATGTCCTTGAAGTCATGTATAGATGAAACAATAAAATCTCTTATATATAACAGAGTACTCTCTTTTCTGTGTTGTCAGAGACTAATTTAACAAATTCATTAATACAGGATTCACACTGAAGAAGTTCTTCTTGTTCCAGGTAGATTGGGTTTCCATCTGTGACCCGGATGACAGCAAAGTGGAATTAAGGTAACAGCAAAGTGGAATTAAGTATGCAGCTACCACTCTTCGGGTCCTCCACCGAACTGCCTTTCCCAAACACCCCTGACTGACAAAGGAGGAGACAGGAAAGAGTTCAAGCACTGACTGTCTGACAAAGGAGAGTTAACGTAACTTATGAAACTTTTTACCCTATGTATCGTCTGTGAGACTTACAACAAAAAGAAAAAGAGAGAGAGAGAGAGAAAGGAAGATGGGGAAAAATGTCAAAAGGAACAGGAAAAGAAAAGCTTACATGGTGAGAGGTGAAGGGGGTTGCAAATTTCAACAGGAATAACCTAACAGGGATTCATTCAGCTTCAAAATCAAGTGCTTCCTTCTTGACAATCTTGTAATTTAATTCGAACAATAACTCTCAGTGATAGATATTAGCTCTATAAATAGATGAAGAAAATATGAGAAGCTACCTAACATTCCTAAGATCATGTGGGTGATGAACTATAAAGGTGGAATTCTACGGCCCAGCTACTGGAGATTAGAAATCATACTTGACCCAAAGTTACTGCTTCAGTAGAAGTTAAAAAAAAAAGAAAAAAGAAAAAAAGAAAAAGCTAAGAAAATCAAAAGAAGTTAATCAACAAAAGTTAAAAACAAAGCCACATGAGGGGCACCTCAGTGGCTTAGTCGGTTAAGGGTCCAACTTCAGCTCAGGTCAGGATCTTACAGTTTGTGAGTTTGAGCCCCGCACCGGGCTCTGTACTGACAGCTCGGAGCCTAGAGCCTGCTTCAGATTTTGTGTCTCATTCTTTCTCTCCCTGCCTCTCCCCAACTTGTGGTCTCTCTCTGTCTCTCAAAAATAAAGTAAAAAAAAAAAAAAAAAAAGTAAAAAATAACAACAACAAAGTCACATGAAAAAACAACTTGTGCTCAAAGATACAAATGGCACATGATAGTCAATTAGGTATAATAATAAAAATGTATAAACCGATTTTATGTCATTAATACGGTCAAATTTTGGAAAGAGCTTAGTATGAGCAAGGAGTCCAAGAACAACAGAACCACAGGAAGAGTTTTCTGAAACAGAAAAGATTATTGGGAGGAAACACTACCCCCCCCCCAACAGTCACAAATACAAAGACACACACAGGAAGAGTAAAAGAGAATGAAACACGAACATGACAGTGAAATACACTACCTTTTAAGACTTAACAGTACTCAAAATTAGCAATATTAACAATCTTTCCTAAAATTTACAAGTGCTGCATTTTTGACACCCTTAATTCTTCCTTTCCAGTAAACTGTGCCCAAACTTTCCAATTTGGAGCATTAAATAATATATTTCTATTTTTATTGAGTATCATCTTTAATTTGTAAGTCCTTTAAAATACTGCTTTTAAAAGGTTGTGAGGCCAACTATAGCTTTTTATTTTAAAGACATAAATGACTCACTGCCCAAGAATAAATGCACAGGTAAAACGAGCCTGAACATAACAGTGAATTAAAAAGGACAAGTTCTAAAAAAGGTAATATTAACTGATAATTCTTTAAGTCTATTGGAGACAATTATACTCAATTATTTATATTGGTTATTATAAAATTCACGAAGAAGGGAAAAGTG